ATGTATCTGCATTGAAGAAAAACCAGGGCACAGGTGGGACTGCGGCAGTTTGTCTTATATTGATGCATGCATTTTTTAACTGAATGAGGGAACACGAAGAATCTGTGAAGGTGTTTGCACATATATTGTAGCAATTCCCTGACAAAGCCATATGTCATCATTGAAACTAATATTTGATTATCCCATACATTTGGTTTCATTTAATTCCGTGATTTCACTGGGACACATGCAGAGCAGTTTGCCGAACACCTACATAAGTTCCTCTCACATAATGAGCACATAATCTGTCGTATCTGTGTCGAAGCCATCTAGACCGTGAAATCATAATGTTGTTTTATTATGATGATTAGACTCTGTTGTAATTTCTTTTTGGCATAGCTCAGAGCATGATTTTTTGCTTTATGGACTCTTATTTGCACTCTTCATTACTTTAAGACCCTCCAGACACGGTGTGATCATTACAGATGAGCTACGGCTTGACCGGAGTGAATCATCCTTTATCTAAACAATGCCTACTCTGCATAATCACTTTTGATCAGTTCTGATCTCTGCACCCAGAAAAAAATTGACACTCCAGGTACGTACTGTATGTTGACTTGACAAAACTAACAAACTGACTCTGTGCAAGCTTGGATGACTTTGAAAGGAAAAGCCCTAACACTTTTCGGACTTAAATTCATACTAGAAAGCTCTCAAAACTTGGCAAAATCCTTCGGTTTTTCAGACTTAGGTTGCTGAATCCTCTCTTTTTTTATTGTTTTCCCATAGCAGATGTTCAACTATCTTTTAAAAGTCTTCCACTGAAAAAAGTCTCACCAAGGAATGTCTGTCAAATTATGGTCTGATATACTGTGTTAATATGAAGGAATGTTCTGTATTGATTTTTCACCGATGTTTTAACCATAGATTGATCCATGCATTAGATTTGTGTTTTGTTTTAGGGTTATAGATGACCTACAATGCTTTTTTACAACTGTGTAATGTCTTTAGTGTGTAATACTGTTTGAGCATGATACATTTCTGAAAAGTAACAAAGCACAAAGTCACTCCATCTTATTTTAAATAACAGATCATCGTGTCCAACAGCTGCGTTTTTTTTCCACCCCTGATCTAACAGGGTAAGGTGTATGACCTTTTCTAAAGAGGTTGGCCAATCAGAACACACTCGCCCAGCCGACCAATCAGAGCTCATTGAGCTTTTCAGAAAGTGGGGTTCATAGAGACAGGAACTAAACAGAGCATTACTGACAGACTTTTGAAGAGAGGTGCTGCAACAATTATTTAAAAAAAAAAAAAAAAATTGTATGTTTTTTTTTTTTATTTATTCAAGCGTAAAAACTAGGGGTGTGATGAGACGCTTATCTCACGAGACGAGAAGAGACACGAGAACGAGACGAGATTTTTGCACAATTTTTCAGAAATCCAAAATTACAAAATTCATGACTGGAAAAATAGTATGCAGGTGTATTTTGCAATCTTTTAACTCATAATCTTCTAATGCATATCATTTCAGGTCTACTTTATGCGTATGAATTTTTAAATGCATTGAAAGAAAACAATATACAAGCACTGCAAAATGTTTTTATTGACTGGCGTTTCTCCTGTTTGATTTCACATGAGTTTCTTACTCAAACTTGATTGATTTTGCTCATCGAATTAACGTTGAACCAACGTCAGACGCGGCATTCTTCAAAGCTAAATGATAATCGAAAATTGGTTTGCTTTCATAACGTTGAAACAACGTGTTAATTTTCCGTTAGTTTTGAAAGAATGACGCGTCTGACGTTGGTTCAACGTTAATTCGATGAGCAAAACAATGTCAGATCAACGTTGTTTCGATGTCATATTTCCACGTTGATTCAATGTCAGTTTGCTATCTGGGGTATTTGTCTCCATGTTGTTTTTCTTGTGGTCCGATTATAAGTTCAGAAACAGAGCCTACCTTGTCCGTTGTCCTTAAAACATTACATTCCTCTTTCACTATTCGAAGTGCAAACAGAGACCGTTGCTGCAAATAAACAGTCCTGAGATGGGTATTGGGAGATGCAATGCACATCAGGGAGCTTGTGTTTTAAATTGGTGATCGCATATATTCTGTGTATAGGGAGCAGCGGCGCTGAGCGGGCATTCTACATGTTAAGACATTTATCAGACGCTTAGTGTTGGCTATGTTGTGCAACGTATCCTCCGCCATCGTCACGCGAACAGTGAACTGTGATTTGTGCTGCACTGATTGCAATGGCAACTCATGCTGGATGAGCAGAGCAGACTTTTACATTCGTTTATAATGGTTTTTATTTTGTATATAAACAGCAAAACGATAGTTTAGGTGAATGTGAGAGTGTAGCGGTGGATGGAATATTCTATAGTAATCTCACCCTCACGCTCAGTCATGGCAATATCGCGAGACAACTTTTTACTCAACGGGAAATCTTAGGCTTGTTTGAGATGAGCAAAATCTGCGCAGAACTGATCACCGGTGATCAGCGCGAGATGCATGCCGGTTAGAAATATGTCCGAGAGTGGTCCGCCTGGCTCTGATGCCATGCCGACGTATGTCAAAAAACTTTGGCGAGCGCAAGGCGCACATGTCGGATTCTGCAGTCGCACGCAGTTGCTCTCCCCCGACTGCACTGATCAAAAGCATGATGGGAAACGACTTGCTGACGACACAGCTTAATGCTCATTGGTTTAAACAACAGTGATGCAATGTTCTCTTTAAAATGTTTGATTTTAAAACTGATATCATGTTTTATGTGTATAGATATGGGTGAATAAACTCTCTGACAGTGCCATATGGGTTATTATGTGATGTCATTTTTTATTAAAACTATATATAAAAACACGTCTGTATTAAAGAAAAAAATAATTGATAAACACATATTTGGAATGTAATTAAATAACAAGTACTTTGGGTGTCTTGTTCATTATTTATTTTCATATAAGCAATAGAACTTAAATTACATCCAGTTTATTAGCAACACCGTGCACGAGCGTAAATCCCGCGAAATCAGTCTTTGATCTCACAGGTGTCAGGCCCACTGCGAGAAGCGAGATCTGTCCGGCTTGCCTGTGCTTTTTTCAATCCTCCTCTTACTGCAGCCGCCTACTCTCGACTACATTTCAGGCGAGGCAAGGCGCATCTCAAACAAGCCTCTTGTCATGTTTTTGTCTCGCGAGATCTCGTCAAACCCCTAATAAAAACCTATTCTAGTAGTGTTACTAGCCATCCATGCTGATAATTCCAGGCAAACAAACACTCTGAAATCACAATTTATTTTTTAATACTTATTTTGACTCATACTTGACTGATAAATATTATTTTGTGCAATTTGAAGGTTCTGTTATCCAGATACAATCAAACAGAACACATATTTCTGACATGGTCTGATCAAGTTAAAGGGATACTCCACCGGGTTTTCATATTAAACTATGTTATTCCCTTAACTAAGACGAGCTGATGCATACCTCTCTCGTCTCAGTGCGTGCACTCTATCGCTCTGTATTGCCGCAAAACTATGTTAGCACTTAGCTTAGCCCAGTGCATTAAATATGGGCCAGAAAGAGAAGCG